GGGCAAACTAGCTACTCGGTGTTCAATCTTGGAAAATATTGAAATGTACGGGGACAGGTGTTTGAATTTTACATATTTGTATCCTTCGACTAATTAATTTGTCAGATATCGAGAGTTGTTTTTCTTCATTAACATGCAATTTATTTTCACAACTTTACTGATTGTATTTTTGTCTGTTTTCTTCTTTAGTTGAGTTTCGTGGGGACAATAAAATTCATTTTAAAGTGTCCTAGTATTTATTCAATAATTTAGAAAGTTTTCAAAGCAAATTTGTTTACGCTTTTACATACTGGTTGAAATGTAAATAAAACGCATTTGGACTATTATATTTTTATACCAGTCGTAAGAATTTTTAAAAAACTCGAAATACAAGTATAAATATTTATATTTGTAAGGGTTTGTAATTCCCGTTATTAATGTAAATTACTTTGGTTGATTCCACTAGAAACAGAATCCACATAAAAACACTAAAACTTCCTTAAATATTTCTAATCGATTACCTCGGATTAAATCATGACATAATACGCTCGATATCAAATCACATAGACTATTAACTTTAACTGTTATAACTTGTAACCTTGTTCCTTATTAATATATAACGTAATGATACCGTCAGTTAGAGAACAGTGATTTATCGACCGGACCAATGACACGTAAACACGTACGAACAGTCTAGAGTCCATGTCGGTCCGTCTTCTTGCCTAGCACTGCCTGTTAAATCCAGAACACCAATCCCAGCCTCTGTGATATGAATCATGTATTTCAAACATACTGGGTTTATACACCAACCAGACAGACCACATCGTACCATCAAAATAGAAAATAACGTTTGTATAAGATTTAGCCAAAAGTGGCTGTGAATGTGGGAGACCGTTATTTATAGACTGGGTATAATTCAAGAACGGTAAATCGCATAATAATAGTCTATGGGTTAAAATAGAGCTTTTAATAAGGCGAACATGAATATGTATAGTTTAGCTACTTAATAATTATACAATAAAAATATATGGTCCATAAATAGTTCTCAAAAGTTACCTTTCATTATTCTCATCGGGATATAACAATTTTTTTCAAAGGTATCTGTGACTTTCTGAATATTAAATATCACAGGATGATAGTGAGTAGCTTCACACAACAAGCTATTAGTAATTTGGAAAATTGGTAGGATTCTAACTATGAATTTCTATTACCATGATTAAATCACTCAAATTAAAGAACTAGTCTTTTTATATAGAACTGTGACCCATAATTATGTGCAAGTTTATGTATATAGGTTTGTATTCATATCTGTTAGTGTATCCTATACAGTTAATGATATATTTATGGATACTGGTTTGAATCTATGACTTGGTGAATCAACTTTCAATGATTATATCTTGTTTAAACTTTGTTTCCATAATTTAGTCTAATTCAACATTCTTACTGAAATTGAAACGTAATCAGTTGAAATAAACACAACACTATATTATAACACTTTATAAACATTAACTTAAGTATCAAAAACCAATTTGTTGAGATTCAAACATGATTTGTAATTTCCTAAGACTAATAGTTTCAATATATTACTTTAGATGTTGATGAAAGTTCATATAGAATAGTTTGTGTCTTAACGTAACTAAATCAAATTTTCTTATTTGTAATACTACTGTTGTACTTTATTTAACAATTTGAATATCCAAATTTGAGTCATAGATGTCCATCGTTAATAGGAAATCCATTTTCTATGTCATGATCTTGCCTTTCTTTTACTAACCACTCAGTCTATTAACATGTTAATTTGTGTTTCTCAAGGACATCAATAGACTATATATACTAGTGCTATAACTGTGACAGCAGCAGGTTAGAAGACAGCGAATTATCGATCAGACCAAAGACGCGCAAACACGTAAGAACGGCCTAGGGTTCTGATTGACCCCGCTTCCCTGTCTAGCCCAACCAGTTGAGTCTAGAACGCAAGTCTCTGCCTAGGAGACATGAATCGTTATATTTCAAGCACACTCTGTTTATATAACAATGAAGCAGACCACATCGTACCATAAAATAGAAAATAACATTGTACAATATTGGCCAACAGGAAAGTGACACGTTAAATAAATATTGACCAATAAGAAAATGACACCATTTCCAAGTCCAAGAATAGCATTAGACTTAATAGAATAATTTTCGGGATATTTTCCTGAATATCCCAACAACTAGTTATGCCATAATTTTTCCTTTAGATGAGTCACTAATAGTTTTCCTTTTTTAGGGTTTTTCCGTATTCTAGACCAAGGTGGGCAGAAGTATTGTGGTTGTATAGCATAAGCGTTCACTACACTCCCATAATTCATAAGATTGACAGAGTTTTAACCTTTGAGACTAACTGAAAAGTGATTGTTTTAGGCACCAAACTCTCGCTTGTGTTTCAGCTACGGACAACTGTAGTGTTGAAAATTAGCTGATGATAACAAGTTTCCGAATTGATTATTTAACACTATACCAAAATGAACAGAATTAATGATCAGGAGACAACCATTCTTTCGAGAAAAATGATATTTCCGTAAAAGTGACCAAACAAAAGAACACGAATAAAAGACAGTTCGAACACAATTATATGTCAAATGTTATGTCAGGTAGTAGCTTAGTGATTAAAACACTTGATGTTCAGAGACCAAGTTCGAACCATTTTCTATAATGATGGTGAATGGAATGATGTTAAAAGGTTTGTAGAATGTTCCTTTGTAGTCAACACTTCAACAAGATTTCTTTACAATTTAGTTAGAATAAAATAATGTAAAAAGAAATATTAAATTTTTGACAATTTCAAAAGATTGACAAATTTTCAATTAAATATATTAAGTGACCTTTGTTTTATTTTAATCTGAGTGTAAAATGTCAGAAATCTGAATTTAATTTGGAACATTTCATGATCACTTGGTCTATCATCGAGTAATAACCGGTATCATGTTTATCTAGTCATTAGCGTTTATCCGCTTTTATTGATCAAGTTGAATTATGGCCACTGTTCTAATTTCTCTAGAAGTATCAATTCATCAAAGATTGGAGATATATCTTGATCAGTTATGTTTATCAACACGAAACTTAAGTTCAGGGCTTTCAGCATATTGTTGAAACCACCTAAATTCAAAACATAATGTACTAAATGTTACATCTTTAATACCGGCAACTTCATTTTGCTAGTACTAAAAACCAAACAAACACTCCACTTGTTACTAGTCAGTGATCGATCAACGTAAATATTTAACTTTTTATATTCGAATGGTTTTAAAACTAAAAGAATTTCAAATACGATTATAGTTATTGAAGTACATGAAAGTTTCGAAACTGTAATTCTGGAAATTGTAAGAAATGGACAATGAAAGACTTAGTTAACTTCATAGATAAGAATTCTCACTAAAACTAGAAAATCCACCTCTATGTATTACGTCAATAATAAACACTGTATTATTATGTCAATAAGTTATTTCTGTAGTAAATTCTATCAATTTGTAGACAAATTCATCCTATCCACATTATATTCTCAATCAAATAAAAATGTTGACACAATAAAATGCCAAAACATTGTACCACATACAATAGGAGGATAAAACTATGAAGAATTAAAAGTTTATTATCATTATTAGTGGCTTCGGTACAATATAGAACTTTCAACACAAGGTATTTTAACAGTATAGTTAATAGCCAAATGAAAAAAGATTAATATTTAATGAAAGATACAGTTCAATTAAAAATAAAACTAAGATAAATTGCTTTCAGTTGAATGGGTTTATCTTACATATATGAAGAATATAACAGAAGACTTCAGCAGGGTATATAATGGTTTCTATTTTGAACCACAAGTGATAATGTCTTAATGTACTATTTGTCATAATTTTGGGCATCGGATCCAGGTAGTCGTAATGAGCCAACAGACACCAGTTCTATACAGCCATCTTTCGAAACACGGCATCATCCGAATATCTGAACACTTCTACTTCCCCATCCAATCCCGAAATCAGTAGTTATTGTCGATTGGGAACACTTTCGTAACTTGTATCTAAACCATCTAAGTCGGCATTTTAAGATTGTAATACTGACTAAATTATTATTAATATTAACAGTACTCTAACACATGACTTAAATAAATAAGTAATTAATTATAACTAATATTCTAATTGAATGTGGATAGTTTATAATGCTGGTTTGTAATACTAACCCTTCCTTATGGTAAAGGTTAAAAAAATGTCGTTCCATACTTGTTAAGCATGTTTATTGCTAAGCTCAGCTGGTTTTACCTTGATAATTTTTTACAATTGAGACAAAGATTGTTTATATAGTTTTGTTATATATATATAGAATGATATTGGCAAATATGATTTGTCGCATGTAAACCTTTTACTTGATTAACATTAACGTTATGAGTAATCAAGGTATGTATAGCATATATATACTAGACAAATAAACAAGTCCATTAACAAAGATGTCTATAAATATATGTCTTTATAGTTACAGAATTATGGGTAAAACTGTGAAATAGCGTTTGTAAGAAAAAAATTAGTGTATAAAATTTTATTAGCCCGAATCAATACATTTATGTTCATAGTAAGTAATGGAAGAACAAAAACAATTCGACAATGAAAGTTACAAAGGAAACTTAACGAATAAACTATCTAATTTAAATAGTACATTTATTATTAATCAATAGGGTCAAAAATGTGACCTTAGCTCTATAAATAAATATTTATAATTTGAATGAATCATCCAGTTGGACTGTTTAAAAAAGGTTAAATTTATTCTATGATAAGCAGTAAACGGGACCTTTTACTCTAGTATGATACAGATGATAAAAGTGTTAGGGTTACATAAAATCGAGAGCATTGTTTACAGTTATGACTGACTCATTACAGAGTGGTAACTGATAAGTCTTATCGATTGAATGCTATGTTAGTTTCCTAAGCTATTATGGTACCCCGAAAGCTAGAACTGCACAGTGACTTGAACACCAGAGAGAAGACGCAAGTATGAGGGAAAATACTTTACTCCGAGGTTCATTTTATTACAGAAAATATAGGGTTTTTATAATATATCTAAATGTCCTTGGGTCGCTGGAATATTCTGGAATGCTACTAAACATAGTAGCACTGTAGTAGCCAACCAATCAGAGCTTCCGCATGTGACGTTTCGCTACCTTGATATTTCTGGCCAAGACTCCAAATGAACGCTGATTGGACGAAACACTTCTTAGTGATTCTTGATGCTTGCTTATGTTTTGCAAGCGATTTCTGGATCACTCCAACACCTCCCCTCTTGCAAAAAATAAGACTTCTTCTTCGGGTCTACTTGCAGCTTTATAACTGGTTTCCTGCGGAGTTCGGACTTTCTGGGTATCCGGCGTCTATGAGCATCTGTTGGGGTTCCTGTCATTGGAGTATCTGTAATTATATCCAGCGGAAGCCTCACTTGACTATCTACCCTGTCTAGAGTCCTTTTCTCTCTGTGTGTTTGATTAATGTGTCTAATCCACACTCCGAAAGTCCCACGCACTTTGTATAAAACATTCCTCATTCTCTTCTCAATAACTCCCGGTTCCCAACGATTTTTTCCAATATATGATTTGACGAGCACTTTATCACCGACGTTAAAACTACGAATATTCTGATTTTGTCTGCGTCCATCCATTAGTTTAGGTGGTAACATGACGTTGAATATGGTTCGGATACTTCTCCCGAACATCGCTTCAGCAGGGGATTTACCATCTGGGACAATAGGGTTAGGTGTAGTTCTATAAGCTGTTAAGAATTTCGTAATTACCTGACTTGTCCCCTCTCCTTCCCCTTTCAATAGTGCTCTTTTGAATGTGTCCACGAAGCGCTCTACCTGGCCATTTGATTGAGGGTGATACGGTGGAGATCGTATGTGCACAATCCCATTAACGTTGCAAAAGTGCTTGAATGATTCTGCAGTGAATTGTGAGCCGTTATCGGTCACTAAAGTCTCCGGAACTCCAAAGCAGCTAAACAGTTCGGATAACTTGCTGATTGTTTCACTGGCTGTGCAATTCACCATGGCGTAGATTTGTGGCCATTTTGTGAGTGCGTCTACTATGACTAGATACATTCTTCCTCGTATTGGACCGGCGAAATCTGCATGCAGCCTCTCCCAGGGGCTATTCGGCTTTTCCCATTGTTGCGGTTCACACTTGCTTGGACTTTTGACTGCTTGTAGGCACGGTGAACAATTGCGGCATCTGGTTTCAATATCTTGATCCATCGTAGGCCAGTATGCGTAACTTCAAGCCAGCGCTTTCATCTTATTGATACCAGGCTGACCGCTGTGGAATTGTCTCAGAACCTTGTAGCGTAATACTTTTGGAACAATAATTCTGTCACCAAACATAATACATGAGTCGACCATCATAAGTGAGTCCCGTCAGCGAAAATATTGTAGCATTTCTCCTTGAAAACGACGGTTCGGCCACTTAGTGAGAAGATAACCACTAACTTCTCTTAAAGTTTTGTCATTTGATGGCCTTGAAGGTAACTGGTAAACCATCGACTGCGTCTTCCAAAACTCGATGTACTTCTGTTTCCGTCTCGATTGCTGCCCCCAAAGTGTCTTCCTGTTTTACTTGTGAACTAATCAGTCTAGATAAAGCGTCAGGTTATCCAAAATCAGTAGTGGGCTGGTACTTGATCTTGAAGTCATAACCCAAGAGTGTAGTTCCCCAACGTTGCAGTCTGTTTGCAGTGTATACAGGTATACCTTTCTTCGACACAAAGATGGCTAGCAATGGTTTATGGTCAGTTAATAGGGTGAACTGACGTCCAAATATCATCTTGTGAAATTTCTTGACAGCGAAGATAATTGACAATGCTTCCTTCTCGATCTGACTATAGTTACGTTCTGCTGACGTTAACGATCTAGCCGCATGTGATATCGCTTTCTCGGATCCGTCTGGCATGATGTGAGAAATAACTGCTCCAATGCCGTAGTTTGATGCGTCTGATGCCACTACAATGGGTAACGATGGATCGTAATGGGTGAGCAGCAGTTCCGAGACTAGTACTTTCTTGATTTCATCGAAAGCGGCTTGGCAAGTTGCAGACCAATTCCATTTTACATTCTTCGCCAGAAGGTTATTCATGGGGGGCACGTAATTGAAGGTTCGGAATAAAAGCTCCATAATGGCTAACTAGTACCAAGAAGGATCGTAGTGTGGGGACATCCGTCGGTCTGAGCGTAGTCTTCACTGCTTGGGTATTCTCCGAACCTGGTCTTCTGCTATCTTTGTCGATTATAAATCCAAGGTAGCGTACTTTTTGCGTACAAAAGCTACATTTCTTTAGGCTTCTAATTGCTCCAAGGAAATATTCATTGTAGTCTGCATCCCCGTCGCCACTGATAAGTCTTATCGATTGAATGCTATGTTAGTTTCCTAAGCTATTATGGTACCCCGAAAGCTAGAACTGCACAGCGACTTGAACACCAGAGAGAAGACGCAAGTATGAGGGAAAATACTTTACTCCGAGGTTCATTTTATTACAGAAAATATAGGGTTTTTATAATATATCTAAATGTCCTTGGGTCGCTGGAATATTCTGGAATGCTACTAAACATAGTAGCACTGTAGTAGCCAACCAATCAGAGCTTCCGCATGTGACGTTTCGCTACCTTGATATTTCTGGCCAAGACTCCAAATGAACGCTGATTGGACGAAACACTTCTTAGTGATTCTTGATGCTTGCTTATGTTTTGCAAGCGATTTCTGGATCACCCCAACAGTAACCAATGCAATTCTGTCTCGTCTTCTAGCATTAATTGAATTCCATTGAACAAGTTACAATGGTGTTATATCCCGATGAGAATAATGAAAAGTAACTTTTGAGAACTATTTATGGACCATATATTTTTATTGTATAATTATTAAGTAGCTAAACTATACATATTCATGTTCGCCTTATTAAAAGCTCTATTTTAACCCATAGACTATTATTATGCGATTTACCGTTCTTGAATTATACCCAGTCTATAAATAACGGTCTCCCACATTCACAGCCACTTTTGGCTAAATCTTATACAAACGTTATTTTCTATTTTGATGGTACGATGTGGTCTGTCTGGTTGGTGTATAAACCCAGTATGTTTGAAATACATGATTCATATCACAGAGGCTGGGATTGGTGTTCTGGATTTAACAGGCAGTGCTAGGCAAGAAGACGGACCGACATGGACTCTAGACTGTTCGTACGTGTTTACATGTCATTGATCCGGTCCGACATTGGTTGTTAATTAGTTATACTGTATTTTATATTACCGTGCTGATTCATACAGAAGCAGAAAATGACTCTCTCTCCCGATCAATTGCTGTTGTTATTTTCAGCAACAACAGCAGCGTTTTAAGAAGGATCAGTTGGAATTGATAGACAAATTGCACACACGGCTGCTGATTCATCCATGTGTTGTGTGACGGTAGTTGATGAATCTATTCCTAAATTGCGTAAAGAGCTGGAAAATGATTGCAGAATGGATGAATGTGTCAGTGAAAGCCTCCACTGATCCTTGACAAGCAGTAATTTAAACGAAACAGTAGCAGTCATTCATGATCTGCCCAGAGGTCTAGAAACGTCCATTTCAGAGACATGCCCTGTAGTGGGTTCAAATCTCATTATCCCCGAACGACAGTGTTCAAGCAGTGACTTGTCCAGCTCACAGAAAGACGGGGTCTTGTTAAATGCTGTTGAAATTGTTGAAGTACCCGCCCATGAAGAAACAGAAAATAAACCGAGCAGCATAATGAGTACAGCTGCACCAAATGGAGCTCATCATTCTGCGACAAAATTCCTGACGAATCTAGTTATCGGGATTCTTTAGTTGTTTTACCAGGTATGGGTTATCTTAATGATTCACATGTTCTTGATGAAATTTCTTCTAAAAATGAGAAAAATATGTCGGATACACCAAATGATAATCAAGAACCTAGATCAGACCTAAGGACTAGAAGAATATGACATTGGGTACTACCAAGTAATCAATCGGTGTATACGACTCGGGCATACGTGCCAGTTACATCCCGAACAGCTCGATGGGAAGACCTTAAACTGTAAAACTGAGTTGTCGGGGTTCGAATTCTATAAGGGGAATGAACTCCTTTAATAATACGGATGTGCCTCGATGACAAGCACTAACTGGCACGAAACCTAATTCCAGGGTTTTCCGCCGAACACCTTCAACCACCTAACACTAAGTAGACAAGCACCAGGTATGGGAAGAAGTATTTTAATGAGTGAAAACAAGTTTTTTCTGTAAGATATAAGAGCATGCACATTTATACAAAGAAAAATTAAAAAAAAAACGCTCACACACAAACAAGGAATGCCTAATTAAAAGTAAGATCCTTGTATGCTTGATAATTTTTAACCATTTATAAAGATTGTTTGTATTCTTATAAAAACAATCAACGAAAAAAGAAGGAATAAAATCACATTTGATATTAGACGTCATACAGATATCGATGAGGATGGTACACACGAATATGTATCCTTGTGTTGTTTTCATATATCTACAATATGTACTGACAGATTAAGTCAAACAAAAGGCAGGTTAGTAAAATGTATGCAACTAACACATGTGAATCAATATGTCGACACAGTATTTTAATAGGTTGTTTACTCTGATGGACGAACCACTCTTAAATTGTTTATTATAGAAGAAAAAAGAAAGGTAAGTAGACCACTATTATATCTGAGAAGATAATGATGAGTGGTAAGACGCATGATGACATAAGGGTGTTAAGTTGAAGAAAAAGAATTCTGAAAATTATATGCTACGTTTTATGGTTATTAGTGGCATTACTTCATTGGTACTACTATCAATAATAATAATAATACTAATAATAATAATAATAATAATAATAATAATAATAATAATATTAACAACAATAATAATAATAGTAGTAGTACATTTATTAATATGCATTTGATCGAAAGTAATAATTAAGAATGTAAAATGAATCACTAGTAGTACTGAGACCAAATGACACATTTCACTGTGTATTAATACTTAAATAAAAATTCTATTGTCAATATCCTGTAGAGGTAGACAGAAAATAGAAAAAAATCCTAACTAATCTAAAAAAGTATTTGACGAAATAAACGAAGATTTTTATGAACGTGAAGCTCTAGATCAAATGAATTGAAGTACATACACATCACTTTAAGTCATTGTACAAATTTCGTCTTTTTATTTACTAAAATCAGTATAATCTAAATGGTATGTTAGTGAAATGAGGAGTAATTTTTTTCCATCAAAATAACGAACAAACAAATACTACTATTCTGTTGCTATAAAAGTTTCCTTACTTATTGTCAAAGAATGGTGATATATCATTTTGTAGAATGATATTATGTAATTAACACAAAGGGGAAGAGAAAATGGTGAGTAATATACAGATAACAAAATAAAACATATTGTAAGTTAAAAAATGAAACAAAGTAACAACATAGAAATGAAGAAAAAAACTCACTGAGAAAGGCATGACACAAGTGAAAATGAGACGAAATAAAAGCATTATAAGCATAGTTCACTGTTTATCTACATATTCACTTGCAAGTCTAATGATAATAATAATAATAATAATAATAATAATAATAACAATGAGCAATACTGGTATACCTTGATATTTTCATAAAAGGTTAGGCGCTTTACATTCAACACAAATTATTATTATTGTCATTATTGTTGCCACGCTCAAAGCTATAAATATTAGTCTCTTGAATTATAAAGTCTCCGGTGAATAACTCATGAAAATACCATGGCAACTGTTCAGTTGTATTGCCGTAGGCTTTTTCCACAAATAAACCTTGGTTGCACAACGTAATTGAACGCAATTCAGTTAAAGCCATGAGAATCCTCGGCCAGTACTGTTGTTGTTGTTGTGAAATTCCATTGATGTTAACTGAACGACTTGACATGTTATTATGATTCATTCTATTGGAACGAATTTTTCGAATACGATTAGCATAACGATTGAACGTCTCCAATAAAATATCCTGAGTATGTTCGACAGTTTCACAGTCAGTTAAGCCAAAACGATCTTCAGTATTGTAAATAAAAATAAAAAATTAAGTAATTAATTTACTAAACATGGTCGACGACAAATAAAGGCGAAGCATATATTTCTTCAATGACAATTACAAAGCTAACTTTACAACGATAGATAGATAAGTATCGGTCAAAATAACACATTATTCTATGGTATATTATTTATTTTATTTATTTGAACAAATAAATATTGGTACAAGGGGGCACCAGATATATATGAGCCACGCCTTCTATGGTATAAGGCTTTACAGTAAATCGATAACCTAATGGTTATACTTTTGGGTAAATTCAAAACGCTCTTCATTTATACCGGTTTGGGCAAACGAGTTTTATAAATAGCTCTCATACACTAAGTGTGTCTTAAAGCTGGGCATATATCATCTTAAAGTTAGTTAATTCCTACAGAACACAAAAAGACTTGGATGTTTATTATCAGTTGTTGTTACTACAAACCTTTAATATGAATGCGTGGAAAATGAGAATGAAATCGGATAGCATTTGATTAAAATAATAAAGAATACTAGTCGAATATCTTATAATTCATGTATTATGCAATTAAAACGAAAATTATTCAATATAAAGAACTAAGGTCAGTAACCGTGACCATATTTAGATTACACCGACGGAATAGCCAGCAGGAATAATGATTTACTTGCTAAAACGAGAAAAATATTAGTTTATTTCAGAAAGTAATTAAAGAATAATCCAAAATAGCTGCTTTATAAGCCACAGCTAACATCAGAAATAAATAATAAGGGGAAGATTTTAGACAGTGACAATAAAACAAGCATAATTCTCCTAGTCAATGATGATAACCTGAAACTATATGTGTTGATGATCCTTTTCAGATGCTATTAATTACTTAACCAGCTTTCATGTTAAATTTATTGCTAACTGACATCGAAATATAAGGCAGAACAAGAAACCAGGAAAGCAATTTGATCATTCATTTTGTATTCGTAAGCTTTCATGTGAGTGCAGTCTGTTTATGGTAATTAGTATACTGAAACATTTCACCTACTTTTTAAGGAATAGATATAACTTTATATAAAAAGCATTAGAGGTCGACCCAATATAGATAAGGTTTAGTTGATTTCAATGTAACCATATATATATGTCATTTATTCATATAAACGTCCATATACGGAATGAGTCGAGTTTTCATGGTGGTGTTAGTTTAATCAACTGAATCATTCAGCTTAAAGAAAGTAAATCTTCTGTAACTACAGAGACATGGTGATAACGTATTAAATCACAAGTGAATGACACGTACATATTAAGATGGAAAGCAGATAAAAATTATTCATCAGTTAGTCGAAACATTTGAACATCTGGCATGATGTTGGTCAGCCTAGGGTTTTATAAAAATAAGTGTAAGTTATTAGCCAAGTGATCTATGTACTTGGTTTTTAAATGTACTTTAGGTGTGGCGG